TATAAATTTAAAACAAAGATTTAATGGATTAAAATATACATTAAAATATAAAATAATATAAATTGATTAAAAAATATATATATATTTTATTTTATTTTATTTTATGTTACAAATTATCAATTTGATTTAATTAAAATTAAAAGAAATTAATTATCTTTTGTCAATTTCACGAAATTTATTCGTATTTAAATGAAAAGAATTTAATCTATTATCATGAAACTGACAAGAAAATAAATATATTCTTCGATTTTATGAAATTAACACAAGATTTATACGTCTATTTCGTGAAATTTATTTATTTTTTTAAATGAAATTGACATTTATTTCTTGTACTTTTCAAAAAAAATAAATGAAATTAACAAAGTTTTCTTACTTTTCTTATTTATTTCGTGAAATTGATTCGTTTTTAATGCAATTTATTTTTTATTTTTGTTTTTTTTTTGAATAAATGAATGAAATTTTCTTACATATTTGTGAAATTAACACAAAAATTACTACATTCTACTTCATGAAATTTATTATTTTTTAATGAAATGGACAATTTTTTTTTTCCTGTACTTTTCAAATAAATAAACGAAATTCTCTTATAATTATTGTTTATTTTATAAAATTAACACGAAATTAGCACGTGAAATTTATTAATTTTTTTTAACGAAATGGACAATTACTTTTTTTTTTGTATTTTTCAAATAAATAAATGAAATTAATAGATAAATAAAAAAAAATTTCTCTTACATTTCTACTTATTTTACGAAATTAATACATTCAATTTCATGAAATTTATTAATTTTTTTAATGAAACGAACGTTTTATTTCTGTATTTTTCGTGCGTCGAAATGATGATATTTAAATTTGAAAAAAAAATGATTTAATATCAATAGAAAAATCAGTGAAATTATTATTATTCTCTTTAAATCGATATTTATCTTCCGACATTCTCATTTAATTTTCTTCATTTTCTTTTCAATAAATAAAATTATTAATCATATAAAAGAGAAGACACGCGAATAAATTTCATTTAAAATAAAGTAAAAAAAAAAAATTAAATGACTTTTTAAATGGAATGGCGTGATTAGAATAATGGAGTTACCATTACCATTTTTCTTTATTGACAATTGTTGTTTATAGAGAAAATATCGACGTCTATGGTCATTTTGTTCATCTCTTCGATACACATCATACGCGACGTCACAGAGGAGACATCACCATTAACGCAGGTAACAAATGCTATCCGATTGGTCGCATAAATCGGCTAATTGGCCAATCAATAGAAACGACAGTAAATTATCGGAATGATGCTTTAAATTACCATAAAAATTTACCATTCCTTCTTCGCTAAGGCACGTATCTTGGCATTTGTCTGTGCAGCTGCTAATGGGGGAGAGAGAGAGAGAGTACAACAAAAGGCACGTGTTTACACAACAAATAAAGGCCTTCTACTCCTTAAAATAGCATTCTAAAATAGCCTTTTGAGTGCTATAACAGTTGCTAACTGCGAATTTACTTTCTTAAATTTTCACTTTATTTTATTTTTTGATTTTTTTAGGGGGGTTTTTTTGTTCTTTTTTTTTCTTGGGTTACGTGTTGAAAAAAGTATCAATATTCTTTATTGAAATATATTACTAAAGTCGGAAAGTTTTGTTTGCATATGTAAGTGAATGAAGAGTTGAAAAGAAGGTTGACAATATCAGACTTTTTGTTTAAAAAAAATCAAAAAAATTAACTGACAAATATGGTAAGTAACCCAATCCGCGTTAATATATTGAATAAACAAATGTATCTTAATATAATTAATTTTAAACTTTATTAAATTCGTGGTTATATTTAAAAAATTACGCTATTAAATATTTTAAAAATTATTATTTACGTCAACTTAATTCCTTTTTCTTCTTCTTCTTCTTTTTGTAAAATTAATAAAAGTTTTAAGCTATTTTAACTAAGAAGTCATTTTGAGTGTTAGATCTACTGCTTTACATGCATGTTTAGTGCTAGATCTACTGCTTTACACGCATTTTTAGTTCTAGATCTACTGCTTTACATGCATTTTTAGTGCTAGATCTACNTCACCTGAATGACAGACTGATGGCTTAACTGCCTCAGCCATTTGAACCTTCTGTTATTTAGCTTTTATAATTAAAATTATAGAAAATTGAGACCCCTTTCAAGAACATGTTTTGTTAATGAAGAAAATAGGAGACAGATCTGTACTATCTAAGAAAAAAAAAGTTAAAATGATTAATGATTCATCTTATATTAAACTGTTTTTCTATTTAAAAAAAGTGATTTAATTTTATTTAGTTTAATGTGGTAAGTTTTCTGAGTTTGAATAAAACTTAATTTTGAATTTGTTTTAGTTAAGAGATCTTGAAGCTGAATTGGAAGATGAACGAAAACAAAGAGCAGCTGCAATTAGTTCACGAAAAAAATTAGAAGGCGATTTCAAGGAACTTGAACAACAATTGGAGATTGCAAACAAAATGAAAGAGGATGCATTGCGACAATTGAAGAAATTGCAGGTATACAATATTTCTTTAAAATAAACACTAGAAAATAATTGAAATGTAAACCATCTGTTGTTAAAATTCAGAGCCAAGTAAAGGATTATCAACGTGACATAGAAGAATTACGACTAGTAAAAGATGAGTTAACTGCTCAATCAAAAGATTTAGAAAAGAAATTAAAGACACAAGAAGCAGATATTATTCAATTGCAAGATGATTTATCAAATTCTGAAAGAGCACGTCGTTCTGCAGAATCAGAAAGAGATGAACTGCAAGAAGAAATTAATAATCATACATCAAAGACGTAAATCTGATATATTTTTGATATATCATTTTTTGTCATATTTTAAATTGCAAAACCCGTTTTTCTATTGTGTCATGAAGAAACTGTATAAATTTCGCCATATTAATTTTTACAGATCAAATTCTTTACTTGCTAATTGTAACATGAGCTCTCACTTAAGAGATTTTGTAATTCTGTCCGGTTTCGTATTGTTCTTTCTCTCGTCCCTTTTTTTTTCTGACATGACAGATTGAAGATAAAGATGACCTAGGACCCGGCATCCAATTTCTCTTCTTCCTTTCATTGACTGATTGCACTAACACTTCTATTATATGGATTCTTAAAAATAAGGAAGTTTATTTTTAAAAAATAAAAAAAAATATTATTATAAATTGACATGTTATTATTTTAATTTAATGTTCGGGTGTACGAATGTGTTTATTGGTTAGCACGTGCCTTACATAATTTTCTTCTCGCTTCGCAACACTTGCAACCTTGCACAGTACTTTATCATTTGTCAGATAGGAAATTTCTTACAAAGGACTGAAGAATGACTTAAGAAACTGGTTTCTTGATCTAGCAATTGCACAAAGGGCTATCCACACCTGTACTTCACTCTTCTGTGGAATTTTTTAAAGAAATATCAAGTATTTATCTACATGATCCTATAGATAATTAATTACACGACTTATCCTGTAATTATATTTATCAGATAGAAGTTCTTATGGTGAAAAAAGAAGGCAAATGGGAATTGGTTGGATCCTACGAATCAGCGAAGAAGTGAAAAGTGTAGAAGACATGTCTATCTTTATTTATTTATTTATTTACAAAAATCTGCTTAAAATTCTTAAATTTTGTATGTTTATAGTTTCGTTTTTAATTTTAAAATTTATTTTAAAAACTGTAAGCTTCGTATAGACCGAGTCTAGAAACTCTAGGTTACAGTAGTATCAGTTATAGAGCAACTGAACCTAGATTAGGTAGGAACTGGTCAATTTTTAATTAAAAAGAAAGGCTTTTAAGGAGCATATTTTCATATAAAAAGATTTAAATCGAATGGTTTATAGTTTAATTAAAATTTTCAATAGTAGGGAGCATGTAATCTAGACTCAGTTTCTCTACAAATTACACTAGGCCTATATAAAGGATCGTTTACAAAACCCTAAATTCAGATGAATTTATAACGTTAAATTAAAGTTTATAGCATTTATACAAGCGAACACTATAGAATAGTCGAGTTTTTTAAAAAAAAAAAGGGGAGCCATTATTATAGTTAAAAGAGCAATTTCAGGTTTTCTAAGGGCCCTCCTGTAGACCACTCCACTCTTTATAAAAGACCTTACAATGGAGATAAGTTTGTTCTACACCTCTTGCCCAATTGCTTATTGATCACTTTTTATATATATCACGTGATAAATATAAGAGTGGGTAAAGAATAATAATAATAATAGAAAACGTGTAAATATTGAAAATTTGTAGATAAAACGATACTCGTCGTAGGTGGTTGCCGCGATATAGTGTCTTTTATTATACGGGACAATGGACATTTGTTACACAAGAGAGTTCATTGAATCAATAGGCGATCCAGACTAGAGGAGAAGATTAAAATGTCACCTGGATGTTGACATTATAGATCTTTAGTTGAACAAAATGAATTTGTTATTATATGTTATCGCTATTTCTAATATCAGACTCATTGTTACCTTTTGATATTGTTACTCCATTTGGGAGGAGAAATGATTGGAAAAGAATATTAAATTTCCATAACAATGACACGTTCCCTAATCAGTTTTTGACTTAGGTGAATGATTCGCGGGATTAGGGATTTTTTTAAATGCGACAAATGACTCATTTTCTAACAATAAAATAACCAGAATAAAGTCAAAATTTTTCTACTTTTATCGATTTATGTTTTCTAAATTTTATATCTTATTTATTTCTTCTTCTTATTTTTTTTATTAAGGGCTTCACTTCTTTCTTTTTCTCTCTACAGTTTAATCCCTTTTTTTAAATTAATTTATCATTTATTTTTTTAAAGGAAATAATCGAGTGAGTTAATTATGTTTAAGATTATATGCTCGTTAATTGAATTAGTGCTTAAATATGTTTAATTAGTGGGTTTATTTTATGGTAGTGTCGCGCGTATCTCTACTTACAACTAGGCGTGTTTCTGTGTTAAATATTCAGTTTTAAATGGTTTTAATTATTTAATTAACTTAAAATATACTCGATTTTTCTTAGAATGGAGAAGGTAATTAATTTTTTCTTTTTACTGTGGGTGATCGAGTTTGCAATTTTTAAAATCATTGTTAGAGAAGGTAAGAAGAACACGTCGCGAAGTATCAAGCAGAAATAGTAGTCTAGTTGTAATTGTTACCGTTTTTTTCCTCGTCATCTGGACAATATCAGATCGGAGGGAGGCACCTCAATACTGGGTAATGGATTCAGCAAGCGACTAATGGATATGTTTACCCTGTGTCACGTGGTTTGTTCTCAGAGCACTTATCTGCAAAAATCGATCCCGTATCAAACATTGGCTACAGATCCTTAAAACACCTGGCCCTATACAGACAAACCGTCTATCGCCAAACCTCCAACAAAACACTAATCACGCATTATGTAATAGGTGACGACAATTTTGTAGGGGCAGAGGGTAATCATTTGGTAAAGTGCAAGAGTGTGAGAGCATCATTGTAGTATTTCTTATCGCCTCCTCTCCGATAGGGCCCTCGTTCGGGCCTTCCTTTTTTTTTTTAATCGATGTATGTATATAGGCTATATATATAGTGTTTAAGTGTGGCAAACGTTCTTTAGTTTCCCAGTCACGTGACCGGTTTTCGACTAATCCCTTCAATTGAGAGAAGAGAGAAAGGTAATTTTAGACGATGTTGCGCTTGATTTAATTATCGAATTCGTGATTTGATTATGCTTCTCTTCAGCAGACAATATTCAGCTCGGTTTGGTTTAATAATAAACTCCCATTCTCCATCCCCATTTGAAGGAAGAAAAAAAAAACCGTNTAATCTATGTAAATAAATACAAAAAGATTATTATAATTGTTTAAATAAAAAAATATATACAGGAGATACTCTCATAAGTTTTAACACGAAAGTGTTTTTCTTTTTACAGTCAAAACTAACTCCACAAGAAAGACTAAAGAAAAGAATGCAAATGGCACTCAACAGACAATGTATATACATCAAGCATTTTAAATTCTGTTTTAAAAATATTCATATGTTTAGTGAGGCATTTATATTTAAACAATCTCCGTCTCTCTCTCTTTCAGACAAGGCGGATAAAAGAGCGCAAATGGAAAAATATGAGAAACAGCAACAAGAAAGACAGGTATTTTTACTTTTTCGGTTATTTGCTTTATAAAAATTGGTTTTAATTTTTTAAACTTTAATTAATTTTTATTTATTTTGTTGCTTATGTTCTCTTTAATAGGATAGAGCCGAAGAATTAAGAGAGATGGCAATACGAATGAGACAGAGGTGAATAAAAATTGATTTATCTGTAATTTTAAAATTTAATTCATTAAGTTTTCACCCGGAATATACTTTAGCTAAATAAAATTAATAATATTTTTAATAGATTTATAGATTTTCTTTAACATAGATAGCAAATTTAGTTTAAAATCTGGTAAGGTAACTTCTATATTTGATTATAGTCACACAATAATAGGAAAGTATTACTGTATGATAAAAGGATTATCCATTATCTGTTTATAACATTGTTGAAATTTATTATGGGAATTTTTTAAATTAAATTAACTTTTCCCTTTACAGAGAGAGAGAGAGGCGTCATAGAATGTTAGAAAGTGAACGCGAACCAGAAAGTGATTCTAGTTGGAACAGACATTCCGAACACTACGGAAAAGATGACGACCGTGAATTCAGAAGGAGAAAAGATGATTCCGACTCTCACAGTCCCAAATCCGGATACAGTCACAGGAGGAGCAGAAGTCGGAGTAAAGACAGAAGTCCTCGTAGAATATCTCCCCGTCGAAACTCTCCCAGGAGAACACCTCCGAGAAGATCCAAAGCAAGAAACCGAAGCCGCAGTCCCAGTCCGAGACAACGATACCACCAATCACACAGACACAGGTAGTTGCAGTTTATACGATAGCTTTACCAGTCAAGGTTTAAGAAAACATTAACCGTATTTCAAACTCTCTCTCGCAGTGCCAACCGTAGCAGTTCACGCACCTCCTCTCTAAGATCTACCAAACCGCTAGTCGACTACTGAAACCTATAACCGGGTTCGACCTAGAACACCGCACCTCGTACCCTCGATGCAGTGGAAATGTCCTAAATATACATAGAACAAATTGTAACTGACCAGCAACACAATTTTTTATATATAGTTAGTTACAACAGACTTTGTAAGATTGCACATAATATTTTTTTTTTCCTTTTTCCTCTAGTAAATTGATACTGGAACATAAATATTTTCTTCTCTATTTTGTGTAAGTTTGTTTTGTTAAAGTCAAAAACAAAAAAAAATAACAAAAAAATAAATACCATCATAAATCATTTGTATTATTTAGTTTAGGAAGATGGTACATAATTTTTTGGTGTAATTCATTTATAAATTTTGAAACTTTTATATATAAATAAAAATGTGTTGGTGTTTATCTCTCGTGTTTACCTTTGTTTTTATTATAAAGAAAATTAAATATCTAATTATTTTTGAATATATAGTAGTAGTAGTAATCCATAAATTTTTTTGCCCTTTTTAGTCGTCAGATGGCGCTGCGAGTTTCGTCGGGTAGTTTGTGGAATTTCTCTTCTGTGCGTTTTACTTTGGAAATAAAATAATAAATAATAAAATTAAAAATTCTTCTTTTGTAAAACTGTAGAAGAGAGAATAGGAGCGGAGCAGAAGGGAGAGAGAGAGAGCGGAAAAAAAAGTTGATGAAAGTTGAAAAGAAAATGTTTGGTGTAAATACAAAGAATTTGTAATTAAGTCAAAAGGACTCAAATACTAGAGTGGGGAAGAGGAAAAACCTACAAAGTTTTGCTTGATTAAATCTGCAGCCACGTTTCGCCCGAGACTTAATTAACTCCGTCTGAACGCTAATTTATACTCCCGAGTTCGGCTCTGGTGACGCGTGAACTACGTCATTAGCACTATCACGTGGTGCGTGACGTAACGAATTTCGGGGGATGGAAAGTTTCTCCGCGTTTTTCGGATTTTTGTTTAGAGGCGACCTGAACAAAACGGAAAGGTTTTAATTGTACAAAACGGAAATTTTCTGATTTATTATTAATTTTTTTTAATGCCGAGATTATTAATTAGCGCGTTAAATAGTTAAACGCGCCAGAAAAAAAATCGGGATTTTAGGGAAATTTTCATGTTTATTAAAAGAATAAATAGTATCACAAGCGATTTTTCTAGCGAATTGATATGCCGTATTTATATTTTTATAAGCATAAAAAAATAATAATAAAATTTTAAGGGGAAAGATTTACAGAAAGGGCGAATCAAAGTCGATCAAATTGTATATTTTTGGTATGCAGTAAACGATTTGTTTGTGATATATGATGCATTTTAATGGTGGCACTTGGCCCATCTGCATATGTGGAAATAGGAGTAACATCTGTGCCTCAACCACCAAACTTGAGACTTGCTCAGAAAATGCGATTACTGTTGGCATTCCCCGCTGTTTACCTGACATCTCTGTGGCAGGAATTTAATTATGGCACTTCACAATATGCAAATCCAACGTAGCAGTAATCTAATTGTAACACTACATACAATGTGTCATTTCGACTGACAATCTATGTGTCAACAGGATTCTGTCGCGCAGAACACGTGTCCAATCCACGTGATTAAACCAAAGTCATGAATTGCCCGGATGTGACTTAATTGAAAGGGTCTCGATAACTTAGACCTAATTGCCTCTAAGCCTTGTGTAAATATTGGTTCTAGAAACTGGTTCCTATATATTTAATTATTATCCCGGAGAGATGTGTATAAATATATGTTATATATGTGTGTATATATATTTATATATATTTTTTTTTTCGTTAGAAGGGCTCGAATCGCCTCTTCCTATCCCGGTCTCGTGATTTTCGCGAACTTCTCGTTAAGCGTGATTTTAAAAAATGGAGAATATTATTTAAGAATAAAATAAAAAAAACCGTTAAAAATGTGAAATCATAATGAAATTTACAATTGTTTTGGAGCGTTTAAATTCGAATCACCTTCACCAATTGATTGTAAAACGACCAATGTCCTATTCATTTCCTGATTTTTGTTTATTTCGTCTCGATTCAATTTTTCTCGCTTGAGTCACGTTATCAATTTTAATTCCCGTTTTATCTATAAAAACAACCGTCAAATAAATCAATAAAACGAATTAAACAGAAACAAATAAAACAAATCTAACCACCGAATAAATTTTACAACATAAATTCAAACGACACCATCGAAGCGCTCGACTTTAGACGTATTGATATAAATATAAATCAAGTTTTCGCCCGAATATCTCCTCTTTTTTTTTTTTTATTCATACTATTTATAAGCGCGTAACGGCTTTTATTTATTTATTTTTTCTTTTTTTGTAGNCAAGTTTTCGCCCGAATATCTCCTCTTTTTTTTTTTTTATTCATACTATTTATAAGCGCGTAACGGCTTTTATTTATTTATTTTTTCTTTTTTTTATATATATATAATAAATTTATTTTAAAAATAACCGTATAGACGAGAGAAGAGCTCTTACCAAAAAAAAATAAAAAACTTTCCTCTCAATATCCATCCGGGTATTACAACTGCTAATTTGCATATAAGCCGGGAAAGGAATGGCGACCGGGTAATAAGGCCTTCTATCTGTTAAGAGTAAGCATGCCTTTCGCTAATAGAGCTTACGTCGTAGGGGAAGTGCTGCTCCATTAAGGACCTTTGACCGTCGACAGCCGGTGATGAAAGTCAGATAGAGGTTAAAAAATCTACGAGCTACGAGCTCTGACAAATCCTCTTTCTGAAAGCTAATCCAGATAGACAGGGATGCTTGTGACAAGGTATGGGAGAAGCAAATCTCCCGTCTACTTTTGTGTAGAGTACGCGTCAATGTCGACCGAGTTGCGTGCAATTGCTTGGAAATGTCTCTCAGTGATTCTAAGTGAGCAAAAACCATAATGCTTCCAAAACAATAGTAATCCTTTGGATAGAATAAAGATTTCTTTCTTTCTTTCAACTTTTTATCCCCGAAAAAATAAAATAATATAAAATAGAAACTAAATGGAAAAAGGGCCGTGAAGGTAGGTATACACACGCGCACGTATATTACCTATATATATGACTTAAAAATTTAAATCTCTATCGATTTTATTATAGTAAAAAAAA